GAATCTATTCCAAGTCAAAGCTTTTAGTCTGTTTAATTGACTAGATCTGGGATAAAACTGGCACATTTTCTGGTGTTTTTCAGCCATTTATATATCCTTTGTTCATCCAATATCGAACACGAATGGATTTGGTGTTAAAGTTCGAATTGAAAATAAAAATCTCATGTTTTGACCATCGATAAAACTATTTTCATTTCAAAATGAATCATATCAAATCGATAGAAATTTAAATATCAACGTCTAGACTAGTCATTTAATCATTTAGCATTTCCAAATAATAGAAATTGTATGTGTTCGCCTCAAACACTAGAACATATTCGAGTAATACACTTTCGCTTGCCTGTCAAATGTGTTTTGAGCATGTGAGAGCTCGAAGAATGACTACCAGCTAACTCTCCGTAATCCAGCCTCTCTGATCGTCTGTACAAATAGATAGGAAACGTCAAACAAGAACAATAAAGCGGCACCTGGCGACTGGTTGGAGAAATAGAGAATCATGCACATAGTTTGCTGTAACAAGTATGCGTCTGTGTAAGTGCGTCTGTGTAATTCAAACGTTGAAAGTATGACACGTTGCACTTAGTCCCCAGGTGCCGCTGTATTGTTTACTATTTTCATGATCAGAAAGGCTGCCGTAATCATTAGAGGTGCATTAGCTCTTATGTACTGTGCGTGCCTTTTGAAACTTTTATTCTCAATTTTATGCTATCGATTATTATTCAATCGAGAATTTTCGTTTGAACTAAAGGCATTTGCATAATATGTGCTATAATATAAACACAATGATTTATTTATTGATTATTACAGTATTACATAAGTGTAATTTTGCTTTTCGTTTGAATATTTCACATATTCATTCTCTCAACAAAACTTCCCATCATCTTTTCATATATATGGCTATATTCCGTCTGAGACAGAGAGACGGTCTGACTTATCGATGGAAATTTGAGCAAACCATCAAAACATGTTTCTTTGAAAGGAATTTTCTTCCATCAACAAACTAATTATTTGTCTACGTGCAGAACTAACGTGTTTCAATTTTATTTTTTCAATCAGAATAATTTGTGTCAAGTTGAATGTGTGATTATTAATTGTTTTTTTTTTGTAAATAATCTCTTCAATTGGCCAATGTTCTGAACATCAAATAGTAGCTGCAGACTGTACGTAAAATCTGAAGAAAAAAAATGTTCAATCAAATACTTCAATGGTGACAAAAGTTGTGTGTCTTACTTTCGAGAACCCTTCTAGACTGACTCGAATGATTCCGTATCCATCTAGATAAATTGGTCGCTGTGTTTCGGCAATCATGATAATAAAATACTTTTGAAGCTCATTGGGCATTTCATGCCAATCTGAATCAAATAATATATCCGCGTATTTTAGGGCGTTATCAGTTACAACCATACCGCCGAAGCAATATAAGTACAAGTTCGATGAGCTCGTAAAAAGAACATTAAGAGAACTTAAAATGAATACACTGGGATTTCTTAGTGCCTGTATAGATAACATTCAATGTTAGTTATATATTATTTTTCGTCAGATTGTAAGATAGACAAACAAACAAACCAAATCCATTTGAAACATCGACGTCGACATAAAAAGCACACCGCCCAGCAATTGCACAAAAATGCATCCCGTGAATGTCTCTTGTACATGTGTAAATGTACTACAATAGTTCGAAAAATGAACCGGTGAACTAGTTATATTCAACAGTAAGCGAAAAAAAACTTACTCCTTCATTAAAATGTGGAATCGAATGGCATTGCATAGGACTTTCTTGATTTTTACAGCATTTTCCTTATCTTTTTCGTTTATCTTCTTCAATTCCAATATAATGTTTTCAAAGTGAGTTCGTAAAGAATCGAATTGAAGGCAAATGACGACAAATGCGGCTAAAAACATTGCGTTCAACAAAAAATAAGCGCCAGAGAAGCATGCCATATAAGTTAATGTCCGAAAGTATCCGGTAAGTGTGGACTGGTCCCAAGGCAGTACATATCTGTATATGATGTGGAGGCATGTGGGATGCTTTTCAAATAGTTGATTATTAAGGTAGCATTGTATCAACTCAGTTACCGAAATAAATGCGACGAGCCCTAAATAAACCGGACCGTAGATTTTAACGAAAAATGTGGTCACTTTCGATCCAATCTGGTGAGCATACGAGTGTGGTTGGAAAGCATTCGAATTCAAATCTAAAATGTGGTAAAGTGAATTTTTAATTTAATTTTTTTTTATTTTTCTGTTCGATTGGTGAACCTACTTTCTCGTTGAATTCTGCGAAGCGTCGAAAATATCGTTCTCATTTCCTTTGAATGTAATCGTAGTGTGATCAATGTATGCAAATTACAAATTAGAACCGTTGCCGCCAGTAGGCCATATATGCCTCCATTGTAATCGACAGTCAGGTACAATAGGAAATAGAGCGAGGTTGCGGTTGTGTTGATGATATGCATTATCACCATTATAGAATAGAATAACTGATTCCTGAGCTTTATCAACGATGGTGTGCTTTCTCCAACGTCACATACACCGATAAACTTAAAAACTGAATGGTTTATCTTGAGTGGATCCATCTCTTCTGAATCTGTATACGGATAGTTCTTCGTATAATTTCAAATGTTTAATTTTCGAACGTTCAAGCAACGTTATCAAACTTGAACTAATGCCGATTCATATTTCATGCTGCTATTTAAATGTTTGTGGTTTCGTTCATTCTACGCTACAATACTCATTAAAACTGTAGAAGACGGACTTTAATTCAACGTAAACTAAATGTCATAGAATTAATCGGGAATCATTGAAAATAAACAAATCATCATCAAAACATCAAAAAAATCATAATAATGAAGTTATTTTAGGCATTTTCGTTTCGTGGAATTTCATACAGATTTATTAATTCTTTCGTTCACTCAAATTAAATATACTCAATTCACGGATCTGTATAGTTCTGATTAATTTATTATTATTTTCGTTTGACTTTGAGTGGTATTATTTCCTCGATACAACCTCCATATCCATGTTTCAAACAAGTCAATTGTTATGCTTCAGTGACATTTTCAGACACATTTCCCAGTTTCAACTAAATAATGACCTTTCGATTCATCTATACCAAATGCTATGACCTTTTGTCCATTAAACAACAAATTTCATTTTTGATTAACCAAATCAATAATGTATACTAAATAGTATAGTAGTTTTGACATCCTGTATCAGAATTCGGTAAAAAAATTCACATTTTCTATGACGAAATGTGAGATTGTTGACAATCAAATTCCATTGTATTCAAATCTCGATGCAAGATTTTTTTGGACATTTTGTGGATTCAGTGGAAATGTAGACGATTGAAAATAATAACAAAAATAAATGACTACAACTGAACTCGTTATCTTTATTTTCGAAAAATTGAATATTTTGTAAGGAGAATCGAACGCTTGACATACACAATGAATCAATTTAGAACAACACCCTTACCAAAGTAGCGTAGCAGAAAGTTTTGGGAACAATTATTACTAATAGACTATTACAATTTTGCGATTAAAAATGATTTCAATTCCAGGCAGTAAAAAGATGCAAATTTTTCCTGTTCTTCATCGCTTCAAAATAGTTTGGATGAAAAGAAAAAATTGATTGCAAAATTTATGCATCTCTACAAATTTATGTACCCTCTCAGATTATGATTGCTGCTCTTTATATAATTTAATTTAATTTTTAGTTGTGTTCTTTTTAATGCTGATGGAGAATGAGCAAATTAAAGTGCAAATGGATTTCTTCTCTCCTCTCTAATTTATTCTAGTTTGAATTCAATAAGGTATAAATAGCGTTAAAAGTTTTTGTTGTTGTTGTCAATGATTCTAAAAAGAAAACATGATATCGTGATTATTATTCATAGAAACGTTACGTTTAATGTGTTTATGTTCATTCTAAGTATCTGGTGATGAACGATATCCATGAATAATTGGTTGTTCTTCTTAAATTATTCATTGAATTGTACATGGTAATTCAATCACGAAAAATCTCACTCTAATTCATTAGAATCGATGATGCTTTTAAAACATTTTGATATAAATGAAATTTTTACAATAAACGGTAATAATACACGTTCAAATAATAAATTTTTCTACGCCAATCATAAAAAAACCTATTCAATAATTTTCATAAAGTTGTCTATTTTCATATTGGTGCTGGAACAATATACCAGACGAAATTTTTCATAATAAAGTATGAAATAAAGACGGATTACTTAATGATTGGTCATAGTGCCACTTCGCCTGTATTTGCAAAGACATTTACCGAATAAAGAATAATATTTAATATCACTCATACTCTATTCGCAACTGATGACTAACATTATTCACGTCTACGTTCATATAAGACATAAGAGACGCGTCGTGGATCAAATGTAATGACAGAACAGTCATTAATAAAAGAATTGAAAATGAATCGTTGATTTTGGCTGCTGGTTTAGTCGTGGTTGTGAGTTTAAAAAAGACGGTTCTGTTGAAATTTTAGTACCGAAAGAAATCAGCGAAATGATTCATGGAATCATATCAGTTTTAATAGTTTTGTTCATTGTTATTCTCTATGAAGAGTTGAGAAAATGGTTCATCAGAAGAAAATTGCAGAATTTTGAGTCAATCGGGCAAATGCCGATTCTTGGTGCAGCTGCACACTTTATGGGAAAATCTGATGACGATTCGATCAATGTTCTTACACAATTTTTTTATAAAGTGAAAACAACACCGTTTCAAATGTGGTTGGGTCCAATTCTAACCATCGGTGTATCAGAGCCAAAAGATATCCAAATAATTTTGACAAGCGACGATTGCCTCGATAGACCACACGTATACAAATTTTTTCGCTGCAAATCATCACTCCTTGCCGTGAATAGAGAGATTTGGAAGCCACATCGTCGGGCCCTGAACGCAGCATTTAATCCAAAAGTATTGCAACATTTTGTGCCGAATTTGAACGATAAATCGCGTATCTTAATCATGAAAATGGAGCCATTTCTAAAAGAACCCGGAGATTTTTATCGAACTATTTTCATTGGTCATATGGACACGGTTACCAAAACGTTGATGGGCACGGAAATGAATACGCAATGTGATGACCGTGCTGAATTCTTCTATCAACATGTGAAAACGGTCACTAACGCCGTACAGCATCGTATTTTACGATTTTGGTTCCATTTGGAATTGATATTTGGTTGGTCGAAGATCGGCCGAGAGGAACAGCGAAGTTTAAAGGAATGTAATGAGATTATTGACCAGATATATGAACGAAAAGTAAATGAATTGAATGTAATGAAAGCACAAGGAATCGATTATTTGGACAAGATTAAAAATGAGAACACAGCAAATGTAACAGAAAAGTGTTTGATTTTAGAACGTGAAGGTGTTTTTACGCATGAAAATGCTTTGGATCAAATGAGATTGATGATAATAGCTGGTATAGACACGTCATCGATCACAGTGTTTGGTACATTGTTATTGTTGGCTATTAATCAAAAACACCAAGATGCGGTTGTTGAGGAATTGCGCTCGATTTTCGACTCAGCCGACTGTGTTGTGACCCACGCTCAACTGGCCAATATGCAGTATTTGGAACGCGTTATAAAAGAATCGATGCGATTAATTCCACCGATTCCAATCATTGGCCGTAAACCATCTACTGACATTGATGTGCCGAGGGGAACAATACCAAAAAACGCTTTTGTCCTTATCAATATCTTGCATTTACATCGAAATCCAAAAATTTGGGGTGAAAATGCCATTGAATTCGATCCGGATAGATTTCTGCCAGAAAACATTGCAAAACGGCCACCGTTCTCTTACATCCCCTTTTCCGGAGGAGCAAGGAATTGTATTGGAATGAAATATGCAATGATCTCAGCTAAAATCGTTTTAGCTAATTTACTGCGACGATACAAGTTTACGACCCATTTGAAATTTGAAGATATTCATTTAAAAACACATGTCGTACTGGAAGTAACCAACGAAAATGCACTTCAAATCGAAGAACGACACTTTTCAACTCATTAAGTGCTATGTGAAAATTTGTGGACAAAGTGAAGGCTCTCATCTTATTTTTCACTTGCAAAACTTCGTCACTTTTATACTTCGAATCAAAGTAACGTTAATCAAGAAGAAAAAAAAAATTTCAGAATTTCGATAAGTTCCGATTCAAACCAATTTATTTTATCATAAAGCTAAGTCCGTACCTTCTTAAAGGGTTTCCCAATCGAAAGCTGAGTCTCAATTAACTGGAACTATTGTACTGTCTAACTCAAAGCTCATTTTCTACCTTTTATATGAATGCCAATGCTTCCAGGCGAAAACGGAAAATAATTATAATTTCAAAGAAAAAGTTCAAATTCATTTTTCTTTTGCATTCAATTTGAATAATTGTATTCATCGTTGCATTTTTAATTGGAAGATTTTGAGTATTGACAATATTCACAAATGTGTGCGACAAAATAAGCAAAGAGTTTTAATTGAACAAACTTTTGTATTTAAGTGGACACTGTAGAACGAATGTTGTCGTAATTTTTATGGGAATCTATGTTTGTTCAAAACAGTTGGACAAGCAAAAGTTTCTCTGCGGTGGAACAAAAAACAAAATAATAATTACATACTGAATTCACAACAATATGTAAGACGGAAGCTTCTAGGGACGATTAGGTTGTAATTAAGTTAAGTGTTTTTAATTGTTTTTGAAGCGGCTGAAATATCAACGGGGCAAAGTTATTGGATAAATAGTTAAGTGCTGGGTGTCAATTGGAATTGTAAGGAAGTTTCACGGAGAACGTTCAATTTGCAACAACACAAACGCAGTGTGCGTAGTAAATAGAATTATGAAAAGAAATCAATAAATCCACTTATATTGGACAAGAAAAAGCATATAATTCATTCAAATCGACATTTAATAACAATGTTCTAAATCGGCCAACAGATTGGGAATTTCCGATAAGATTTTGGTGAGTTTTAGTTTGAATTCGCTTTGAATGTAATTCTTTTATTAATTAGCAACCAAAAATCTAGCTTCGGTTTCGTCTTCATCTAGTTTTCATAGAGTAAATATTTTTTCAATTTAAGTATGACTAAATGTTTTTGCTTCAATGAACTAAAGCAGAATGATGATCAAAAGAGAGACGAAAAAAAATGCTTCAACCAACTTTTGTTTACTTTTCAAAATTATTTATAACTTTTTGTAACGTATCATTATATTTGTATATTTGATGTTTCCACTAGAGAAATTCATTGATTCTCATACTTTACAAAGAATTGCCAAAAATGGTTAGTTTCTACGTGTGGAATGGTTTTTTTTATCTCTGAAATAAAATCACCTTGATCCCAATGTTCGGAATATCAAGTAGTAGCTGAACACTGTACGCAAAATCTACAAAGAGAAATATTATTCATAAAAGAGTTGAGTAGTTAAAGTAGTCACATTTTGAGTGATGATGACACCGCCAAAGCAATACGAAATAAATTCGATGAGCTTGCGAAAACAACGTTGAACACCGTCAGAAGATATAAATTGGGATTCCTCAATGCCTATGCATAAATACGTTTGTAGTTAATTTTCTCGCTCTATTGTTGGAAGTATGTATACGTATAGTCACCATATCCATTTGAAACAGGACACATCGAAAGTACACCGTTAAGTAATTGTACAAAGATTTATAGTTTGGACTAATAAATAGTGACTAATAAGATACTTACTACTTATGACTAGTAACTTCTAATAAGTAGTAATAAGATGCAATCTTATTACTCTATTGATATATCTAGTGAGTATAGTTATTAGAATGTTATTGGTCGAACGAGTAATAAGATGCATGGTAGCTTATTAGTATAGTTATTAGATGAAATATATTTGAGTAATGAGATGGTGATGTTATTAGTCTTGAACCAAATGTTTCCCATTGATAACAAACTGATAAGGAGTGCGAATT